GCAGTGAGAGCACAGAGTCCTAACCACTAGACTGCCAGGGAATTCCCAGAACTTATTGTTATTAATAAAAAATATTGACAAGGTTGGGTATTATAGCATGTGGCTCCCAAAATATAGTTCTGAAATCTTGTGAAGAATGATGAAGGTTTCTAATATTTAGTAATCACTCACTATGTGCCAGGCTAATTTCTTTACATATGTTATTTCATTTAATCTTTAACAATCGCATGAGTTATATTCACATTTTCCAATAAGCAGCTATGTAAGGCTACGTAGCAGTGGGTAGATGGAGCCTAGATTTGAAAGGAAACCTGACTCCAGGGTACAATGTTCTATTGTCATCTTCTAGGTGTTATTTTTATTGTTATAATTATTTTTCAACTGAGGGAACATCATTTAAGGAGAGTTAAGGTCACATTCCAAGGTTATTACACACAGTTTTTAATTGGTAGAGGTAGGATTAAAATGCAATGTTAGTGATTCCAAAGCCCCATCTTTTATATCAAATTGCATTTTTCAATTTATAGAAAGTAATCTAAAATTAATTGTTACTAGTAAGCGTGGCATATTTTTTTAATGAAAAGTTTTAAAAATTCTCAAAAAAAAAAAAGAAAAGAAAATACTTTTGGGTCAATGGGTATAGTTAGGTTCCAAATAAGTATGGACATTGAACCAGCCTGACGAGATAGGAAAGAGATGGACTTTGAACCTTCCACCTCTGGGTATGTTGGGTGGAGATGTGTATTTGGAGTTTAGCTTCTTAGGATACTCTGCTGTATAGTATTATGTATTGTACCATTGAAATGCAGAGCTGTTTTGTAATATTATGTTCCTGTTATGGTGAGTTAGGGTGAAAAAACAGGTACCTTGTTCCTCGGAGGTCTCAGAAATAAGATATGCAATCTCATTAATGAATGACTGTTATATAAATCACTATTATTAATAGAAATAATATCTAGTTGCTCAGTCTCTACTGTGTACAGGTACTTTATAAGGTGGTTTCCATAAATTATCACTAGTTCTTAGAACAATCACCCTGACTCTTGGAGATTATGTTCTCATTTCCAGAACAGCAAACTGAAGCTCAGAGAAGGAAAATGACTTATCCAAGAAGGAAAGTGACTTATCCAAGAATATACATCTATTAAGTCATGGAAGAAAATTTCACACTCTGACTTTGAAGGCCATACTCTTTCCGTTATACCATGCTGTCATGGTGCACAAAATTATCAAATTCATTCATTTAGTATTCATTCATCTTATCATCTCTAAAATGGACCAATAATAGTATTGGTCTTGTAGTTTTTTTGTGAGAGTTAATGATATAAATCACATAATGCACATAAAACACTTAACACCAGTTTGGCATCTAGCAAATGCTCAGTAAACATTGGTTTTTATTATGTACAGTATTTTGTTGGCCATGTGCCAGGAACTGGGGAAACAGATGGATAGGATTCTGTATCTTTCCACAAAGGGCTTATAATTAGTGTAGGGGAGATGGAATAGAATACATTTTACAAAAATTATAATCCAATGTAATATATGTCATAGTGGGTGTGGATCTACAGGCAGAGTGATAGCACAGAAGGTCAGCTGGCCGTATTCCTGCGTTCAGGAGAAAACCCTCACACAACTCTGGTCACTCACGTGAAGAGCCTCTCCACAGTGATATTGTATTATATTGTAGAAAGGCCTTTGTGCCAGTTGTTTTTTTTTTTATTTTTTTTTAGTTCTTTCCTAAAGGACAGATTAAATAAATAAATAAAAACTGTTCTTTAAATTAAGTGTTAGTGCTATTCAGCAAGGACAGAAATTGTGGTGTTGCACCTGGGGAGGGAAGTAGAGCAGAACCAAGTTGACCCTGGACCTTCACAGTGGGCGGAAAGGGGCGAGGAAAGAAAGTTGCCACTCATGAGGGAAATATAGAAAAGTGATCCACACCTTAAAAGCCTTTCTTTGGCAACTGTAAGAATCCCCAGCCTGTCTGCTTCCTCCCTACCCTTGGAAGGAAGCCTGCCTGTTGGCATAGCCCACACGCTTCTATAGAGCTCTGGGCAGCCTTCTCTTTCAAGAGAGAGACCTCATGGAGAAACACCCTTATGTAACTACGATTTCAACAGTTAGTTACACTGTTAAACTACAGTGTTCCCTGGCTTATTTTCTTACTATTACTTTTTGTATCCTATATTGTCCTTTCTTGGATTTTTTAAAAAAAATTTACTGGAGTAAAAGTATTTTTTTTGGAAACAGTGCCATAGATATAAATTCTCTAAATGCCTGTAGGTCTAAAAATGACTTCATTTTGTTTCAGACTTAAATAATAGTTTGGATTTTTACAGAATTCTAGCTTCAAAACATTTCAAAACTTTTAAGACACTATTCCATTGCTGTTGGATAGCCAGTATTTCAAACATTTGATAATAATATCAGTCTCATTCCTTTGTAGATAATATCTTTGCTTGTTTCTCCTCTGGAAACGTTTAAGATTTTCTTTTTTTACCTTGGAGTTACAAAATTTCACTAGTATAGGTCTAGGCATGTGCCTTTTATTTTTTGCTTTTCCCATCTAAGTGTTCAGTGAGTATTTTTATTCTGAAGAATCGTCTTCCTTCAGCTTGGGGAAACCATATTCTTTAATTTCTTTATTACTTCTTTCCCCACCGTTGTTTCTATTTTCTTCTGAAATCGTTATTTATTCTTGTATTATTATCCACACTCCCCCTGAAACATTCTTTCTTTTTTGAAATCCTTGTAAGACGGATGTTGGATTCCTTGGCTCTGTCCTCCAATATGTTAACTTATCTCTCTTTTCATTCTATGTTCTGGGAGAATTCCTTAACTTTATATTCCAGGTCATTAATTTAGTCATCAGTTATATTTATTCTACTTTTTGACATTTTTATTTTTTTAGTTATGTTTTTTTAATTTCTAAGAATCTTTTCTTGTTTTCTAGTTGCTCGTTTTTATGGAAGCCCATTCTTGTCTTATAACACAATAGCCTCTTGATCTCCCTGAAGATACTAATACAAGTTTTGTTTTTAACATATTCTATTTCCTACATTATCTCTCTTCTCTTGGGTTCATGACAATGTAGGATACAAGAAGCAATAGTAAGAAAATAAGCCAGCAAGCTCTGTTAGTTTAGTGTAAATAACTGTTGAAATTGTATCTATGAAACTTACTGCACTTAAGAAATGTTTCCTTAAATATTGAAAGAATAATTTAAAAAACTGGTAATCATCTGGAACTAATAAAAGCGAGATTATTTCAATCAAATACTGTGGGGTTTGGGGTGATAAGACAATCTTGTTTGGGGACAATACATTTTATAGATACTGATTAATTATAGATTCTGATTTATTTTCAACATGGATAGAAAACTTAAGTTTAATTATATGTGTATATTTTAAATACAAGGGTATCCATTAGAATAATTTAGTATATATAACTATCCCACAATTAAAGGGGAATAAAATGGACAAATGAAACTTGATCAATCTATATAAAGACAAGAAAGCAAAAAGAAAATAAAAATCATAACAAACAGAAAACACAATAAATATGATAGTAAAAAGACCATACTAGATGATATATCAGTTATTACAATAAATGAGAATAACTTAAAAACTTACATTAAAAGCTGGAGACTATCTGAATGGTTAAAAATAATTGCACACATTAAACACTCAATGCTATCTGTAATAGGCAATATGAAAAGAGAGCAAATTAAAAATAATTTTGAAATTGAGGTCCATGTAAAATTATTACAGGCAAATTGTAATAAAAAGAAAGCTGAAAGATTAATTTTATATTAAACATTAATATTAATATACAAAATATAAATTTTAATATATAAATATTAACTTTATATTAAATATTAATTTAATAGAAAACAAAATGGAATTTGAGGCAAAGGTTAAATGGAAGTCAACTAATATTGATTCATAGATCATTAATAAAATCCAGCAGGAAAGTATAATGGCTAGAAGTCTTCAGGCACCAAACAAAAAGCATTGGAATAAATATACTGAATCTGTTGGAAGAACAAGAAGAAATTGACCAAACCTATTAGAAAAGAACCTTCCCTCAGAAATCTCTGTTGCAATGACTTACATGTTTCACTCTGAAACCATAAAAATATTTGTGTTCTTTTGTCAATTCCATTTAATTATCTTCATATTAGCATTCTGCTGCTGCTGTTTTCCTGCATTCTCACTAAATGCCTTATCAAAACTCACATTTTAGGGCCTATTTTTTCGGGGTGCCTTCCAAGGTGCCATAGTGAAAAGAACTCTCTTAGTGTTGTGATTTTTGAAAGAAGCACGTAAGATTTTGCTAAGTGTTAATGGGAGGGTATTTGGATACCATTTCTCTGAAGGCACCAGTCTTTTCCCTCACCCGTATGCCATCTAATCCTTGAGAATGACTCTACAGTGTTGACTTTATGGACACTTATGATTAGATGTAACCTTACTGATCATCTCATAGTCACTTCAGACCAAGACAAGCTTGGCATCCTAGGCTTTGGACTGTCACTCACTGACTACCTTCAAGCAAGTCATATAACTTCTCTGCGTCTCAATTAACTTGTCTTTGAAATAAGAAAATAGGGCTAGAATAGATAGTCCTTAAAATTCTTTCTTTCTCTAAAGTTTTATTTTTCTTATTACGTGATATTTACTTCTATTTTATCTATTCTTTTTCTAAAATCCAATATTAACAGAAACACTTCTGTGGTATATCTTATAGACTATGAAATTTTGACTTTTCATCTTCTGACACTTGGCAGATCTTTGGAAGAATAACAAAATGTTTAAGGAAGCAGTAGTTGGTACAAGCAACTGAAAGGATAGATGCTACCCTTTAGTTTTTTATTTGGTATCCTCTTCGGTTTCAACGATACTGATTCCATGGTTGGTGCTGAGTGAACAGCTCAGCAAGTGTCTTGAGTGAGTGATTGGCTCGCTCTTTATAAATGTGGCTTCTCCCTTATTTAGCTGCATTACAGGCACTAAAGAGAAAGAAGAGGTTTGAGAAGCAGCTCACTCAGATTGATGGCACACTTTCCACCATTGAGTTCCAGAGAGAAGCCTTGGAAAACTCACACACCAACACGGAAGTGTTAAGGAACATGGGCATTGCAGCAAAAGCCATGAAAGCACTTCATGAAAACATGTGAGTGACTTTAGTCTCCCTCTGAGCCATAAATTCCCTCAGTGCTTTGGAAGTATAAAATGATCTGCACAGAAATGGGCTTACTCATTTGAGACTCTTTGACATGTTGGAATGGAATGTTCCCACAGAGAAAGAGCAGAAGTAATATTGGCAAAAGAAAAAAAAGACCATGAAAAAATAAAGGACATTCGTTTTGCCCTTAACGTTTCCCAGTAGCCTCACTATTGTTTGACACTCCACCTGCAAATATTTTCATTCTATAATTTTAAAAAGGCTTAAATGTTAATATCTGTAAAGGTGTTAGAACTATACAATAGTGGTTGTCAAATTTTGGGGGGCCTCAAAAATCACTACTAATGAGAACACAGATACCCAATTTCCTTCAAGAAAAGTAAGGATTGGGCCTTTTTGTTTTTAACCAAGCTCCCAGATGATTCTGATACTAAACAATGTTTGAGAACCATTGACATACAACAGTAGATAAAAGCATGGATTTGGGGTCAGATTTTCTGGATTATAATCCCAGATCCTGCCGACTGTCCTTGGACAAATTACTTTGCCTCTCCCTGAGTCAGTTTCCTTATCTGTAAATTGGAAATAATAATAGTACTTACTTCATGTGGTTATTGTGAAATTCAATGAGATACAAGATATACTGCACTTGGGAGTTCCTGGCACAGAGTAAGCGCTCAGTAATCTATATTCATAGTGGCAGTGGGGCTAACAATTTGCTTTATATTCACACTGAGAATCAGTGTCTGGGACCTAATCCTTTTCCAAAGTTAAATATCATAGTGAAGTTTGGACCAAAGGTATGCAAGGACAAAGAGTGACTGAGGGATGTAGAGAAGCTTCCATGGATGGGAAAAGGTGGGAGAGAGAGAGGCTGGGGTCAGTGAAGACATCTTTGCTAACATTTTCTTGCCTTGATAATCAATTGACAATCAGCCATCATTTTGACAGCTTCTGAGAGATCATTCAATTCATTATCAGAGTCACAGTCCTATATTGTTGCTGTAAGCTGGGTGCTAAAATGTATTACAAAATCATAGTTTTTCTCTCCAGGTAGTTTAGCAGCATCATCCCTGGGTGTTCCTTTTGAGAAAAATTCACTCCCAGGCCCAAACTTTAGCTGTACCTTTCTCATATGATTTTTAAATAAATAATCCTTGTATATTTGTTATAAATATAAGAATTGGAAATAAGGGGTGATAGGAGGATGGCAAAGTATTCTTTTTGATTACTACATGAAATTATGTCAAAATACTCAGCTTTTCCCATGTATAGAGTCTGGAAAACTTGTAAAAGATTTATTCCACTGGGAATCAAAATTTCAGTGTTAATTGCTTAATAATGAGGAAAATTGTCACTTCTCTGGTATCCAATCAGTTTGGCCTAGCTTCAGAGTTGGAGGAATGATTCAGAGACAAGGTACTGGAGAGGCAGCTCAGATGCTGGCATTCGGACACTGGCAGCTTCAGTGGGTGATTGGAGGCCAGTGGGACTTGGGTGCTAGGAACTGTCTTGACAGCAGCTGTCCGTCCTGGGCCTGTGATTCCTTTGCTGAAGTTGCTGATTCTTCTGAGGCCTTCATAGGCCTAATCCTGCTCTCATCGGTAATCTCTCAGACCATCAACAGCTATGGGAAAGTTCTCAGGGAGCCAGGACCTCAGACATACTAGGCAGTCTAGAAAATAGATCTCTAGTTCCAGAGTTCACCTTCTACAAAAAGCTGCCCTGATAGCAGCTGCTGAGAGCTGCCCGAGTTTATCTTAGTCACAGTGGTCCTTGGTGGCCCATGGTACCACTTCCTGCAGAGTTAATACATAGCAGCATATATTTAAATTTTACATATGCCCTACCAGACAAAATTTCAAAATGGGTCTACAAATATTGTTAGTTATCAAATAATTTGCCCTCTAGTGACTCCTAAATGTAATGGCTATCAATTTAATTTAATTTACATAATTTAAAATATATGTACGTATACAGAATTTTTGAAATGCAAATTCTTAAAGTTGATAAGTCTTATCACCCGGAATGTTTACTATCCTACTGAAATAACTAAGAGTTTATATTAAATTGACTCATTTTTCTAATTTATATCTAAATTCATAAATTTAAAGTAAAATTCTAAACTATTTCAATAAAATATTATTTCCCAGGGATCTGAACAAAATAGATGATTTGATGCAAGAGATCACAGAGCAACAGGATATTGCCCAAGAAATCTCAGAAGCATTTTCTCAACGAGTTGGATTTGGCGATAACTTTGATGAGGTGGGTGACACTATATAAAGAATGGAGTATGGTGGCTGCTAAAAAAGACAGCTTCCCATCATATGGAGCAAGCAGGTTTCTTTACACATTTCCTTAAATATCATTAAAGAATAAATTTCTTAGAAAAGTACCTGTCTTAAGAGGGAAATGAAGTGTTGGTAGCTCTGATTTAAAGGAAAGATTAATATAGTTTGGCAAATAGCCCCCTAATTAAGTTTTCAGCTATTAAGGAAAAGCAGCATGTGATTATGTAAAGTTAGTGACTTTTAATGGTTGAAGCCTAAAACCCCATTACGAAAAATTGATAGCTTGCACATCTGGGCCAAACAAAGCAGACTGGGTCACTTTGCAAGAAACAGATCATGCTCATGTTAAATTAGAGGTTAGGCTGCCTCTGTTCATTACTTAGGCTGTGAAACAAAATAAATGTGGAGTGACATTATTAACACACACATTCTATTGAGATTAATCAGTCCAATAATACAGGCTATAATTATAATGGTGGTGTCTGCACTGTGAATTTCAATTGTTCTACTCAAAGTACACACAAATTTTGAAACATTTCCAATTCTCAGATTACCATGGCAAAGGATCTGACTTCCTAAGTTCATGTAGTGTTAAAAATGGTACATCTAATAAGTAAGATGTAGTTCCACAGAATCCTTGAAAGTGAGAACTGGGTGTCAACAGCTTTTTTTTTCTAGTTTTGTTTTATTTTATTTTATTTTTCTCCATTCTACTTTTTTTTTTAATTGAAATATAGTTGATTTACAATGTTGGGTTAGTTTCAGGTGTACAGAAACATGATTCAGTTATACATACACATATATCTATTTTTTTTCAGATTCTTTTCTCTTATAGGTTATTACAAAATATTGAGTGCTGTCCCCTGTGCTATACAGTAGGTCCTTTTTGGTTGTCTATTTCATATACAGTAGTGTGTATATGTCAATCCCAAACTCCTAATATGTCCCTCGTCCCCCACTACTTTCCCCTTTGGTAACCATAAATTTGTTTTCTATTTGTTGTCTGTTCATCTGTTTCTTCAATAGCTTTTTAAAATAGTATAGACCAGGGGTTGGAAAAATGTGGCTTTCAGGACAAATCCTCCTGAAGTTCTGTTTTTGTATGGCCTGTTGAACAAGACGGTTTTTATATGTTTAAAGGATTGCAGAAAACAACAGCAGCAGTGACAATAGCAACAAAGAAGGCTACGAGACAGAGACCATATGCTGTCTGCAAAGCCAAAAATACTGCTGTCTGGTCCTTTCCAGAGAAAGTTTGCCTATCCCTGGTTAGACTAACAAGCACCTAATGAGTGCACTATGACATGGTGGAAAGACCTCTGGGCTCATTAGGACTTCTGGGTTGTGCCATTTATTACTAAACTTTGTGTAAGTCCCTTTACTTTTCTGACCCTTAGTTTTCTCATTTATAAAATGAAAATGACTGGATCCCTAGACTATCTCTAAAGTTTATTAAATTCGAAAATTCTTTTATCAATGAATAAATAAGTGTATGACACTTGAAGTTTGAAAATGATGGGGATGATTATTCTGTCACCACATATTTGCTAAAGAAAATATCAATATCTTTTCAGTGCCGTTGGTAACTATCAAGCACTATTGGCAATTCTGGGCATACATTCAGTGTAGGATAGTGTGTTCTGCTACTACTACATTTGCTATATTTGTTCTTAATTGTTTTGTGAGCAGAAATAGGATATCAGAGTATTCATGCTGAAGGTACATTATTCATTCAGCCTGTGGAACACCATAAAGCCCACAACTACACTGACCACACTATTTCACATGGCCTCATGCTATACATTTTCATGTTTATTTCCTTTTCATGAGGTAGATATAATGGTGGTCAGACAGTCATTCAGCTTACTGTATGTCTGATACATGGTGACTTGATCAAATGCTGTGATTGGCTTAAGGATTCCCACTCTTGGCTCATAGTATTGTTACTCTCATTTTAATATAGAATCATTATTTGTTTCTGTGCCTTTCTCCTACATTCAATATGCTCCTTAAATGTAGGGAATGTTGTTTGCACTTTGTCTCCCCAGCCCTGAGTTCAGCCAGGAGTGAGCTCTCAGTAAATTTGTTCCATGATGAATAAATGAAGAAATGAAGAAATCTCCTTGGTCGAATAAAAGAGTGTCTTAGGTCATTTCTAATAATGACAACCTCAGAATTCTGATGATGACAAATTTAGTTTTGACTCCCAACTTCTCTCAGGGGGGTTGGACTCAACCTGAGGACACTTAGAGCCAGTTAGACGTGAACTATTCATCTCAAGTCATCTCATATCTGTCATAAGGTGACTTTTACCTTTAAAGCCTCAAACTAGACTTGCCTCTCTAAGGTTCTTGGGACAGAGAATAGTTTAGGATTAAACCAGACTCTGGGGCTATTGCTAAAAGAAAAAAATACAGTGTACCTACCTTGAGTTGAAGCTTTCTTAACTAAGACACAGAGCATGATATTTACTAGTTTTGGTAATTTGACAAAGGAACAATAATATCTTTGATTCTTTTTACTTTTGGTATGTTATGGTTTTGCTATACCTGTTGTTTTATTTCAGTAGCACTAGCCCAAATGAAAATATTTATTGCCTCTAGTTAAAATCTCACAGATTCTTAATTCTTAACAGTAGAAAATAAAAGATACATTGGAAAAATGACAGGCAAGGTGTAAATTTCCTAGAAACTGTGGAGGTTATATATTCAGCAAGCACAAATTACTTGAAAAACTGTTGACTGAAGTATTATAAGATTAACTACAACAAATTTGCACAACCCCAAATATTCATATTTTAATTATTGCTCAGTGTTGCAAAACAGACTTAGTCTTAAAATAAATATTCCATTTCACTGGGTTCTCACATATCAATTGGGTAGCAGATGTTCTTGTTATTATGTTTGAGGAAACCCACTTCCTGAAACATTAACTCCCTAATTCTTTCTTTTTCCTCTGTTCAGGATGAGCTGATGGCAGAACTTGAGGAACTGGAGCAGGAAGAATTAAATAAGAAGATGGCAAATATCCGACTTCCAAATGTGCCTTCCTCCTCCCTCCCAGCACAGCCAGACAGAGTACCAGGTCGCATGTCTAGCACGTCCTCCTCTGCACATCGATCCCGAGCAGGTCTGCTCCCCATCTCAACCACCTGTGGTCAAATAATTACCTGAAATAATAGCCAGGCCTATGCCTTTTAGCACTTATTTTTCATTGCATAAAATATACCTTTTAATACATAATTCATACTTGTTTTCTGTGCTGAAATTATGAATGTCACCAATTACTAATTTTTGTCCATTTTTGTTTGTTTGTTTCAGCATCTTCCAGGAGGGCAGAAGAAGAGGATGATGATATCAAACAATTGGCAGCTTGGGATACTTAAAACAGAATTTTTGGACACCGAAATTAATGAGCTGTACATAAGACACAAAAAATGTTTTTGCCAAATATAGAAGTTAACAAAGATTCTGTTTTATATTTATACTGGATGAATAATTGTCTTTTAAGCCTCATAGGTAAAAATTAAAAAAGGAGGCATGTGTAGGTTTAGGATCTGGGATGGAATGGGACTTCCTGGTAGCATTTTGGAGGATCTCTCCATACTGATGGGAGGGGGCATTCTACTTTGTTCACTATTATATTATTTCCAGTCCTGGCACATAGTTGGTACTCTCTATATATTTGTTGAAAGAAAACTGAATTCTATGAACATATAAAATATATAACAGTTTATAAGCAACTTAAGAGTGACATGTTTAGGAAAGATGGGGAAAATAACTTTCTTTCCTATGAGAATGCAAGTTTGCTGTGCTGTATCCATGTTGTAGCCCAGGGTGAATGTATAAGAAATGTATCTCTTATAGGAGACATGTTTGCAGAGAAGTCTTGTGTGAGTCTATACATAAATAGTTTCACTTGGGTTTAAAATCTTAAAGGAATTTTAATTGACATTTATTATGCCAATTAAGCTTGGAATGGGACAATGGATGCAGTTCCCAAAATGTCTGGAAGCACTAACAGCTTACACTGCTGAGCAAGAATCTCCTGGGTGTAATTTAGTCACTTAGGGGGCTGCATTAACATTCCCAATCCATGATGATGCTGTTATGGCTTCAGCGTGCTAAATGTGTGAATATTCATTCTTTTCTGTTTTGTGCTCTCTTGTACATTTATTTATACTTTACATCATATTCCTTGTAAATACTTAAAAATATAGGAAGGAAATTAAAAGTGTATCTTGAATAAAGTTTTGGCCATAATGATTTTTAAGTGAAAGTACAACATTATGTATCGTCCATAATGCTTCACGCACCATAAAATGACAAATGTCATTATAGAAAATGATCTAGTAATTCCCCACATTTGCTTAGGGAATACAAGGTCTAATGGGATGGAAAGAACACTAGACCTGGAGGTAGGAGTTCTGGATTCCATCTCCTGCTCTGACACTAACACAGTACAACTAGGCAAGTCATAAACTCTTGTGTCTTGCCTTTGTGTCTTCACTGGGAAATCTAAGGGTTGGACTTGATGATGTCTAATGGTTCCATCTTGCCACAGGCCTTTTGCACATGCTGTTTTTTCTTAGCAGTCTTCCCACTCTCCACAACACAGATACCACATCTTACTTATCCCTTAAATCTTACAGTGTCCTTTGTTTTGGTAAACTTTTCCTGATTGCACAGACTAAATCGAGTCTCCCTGTTAATATGCTTTTGTAGCACTCTGCTTTCTCTCCTATCATCTATCATTGTTTATATTGCATATTTACTTGAACAATCACTTTATTATTCTTCTTTCCTGCTGGGCTGTGGTAATTTGAGGTCATGGACTGTATCTCTTCCAGTTCAATCCCACTGTATATCTCTGCACAGTCCCTCATTTGGCATTTAATAAAATTTGTTATATGAATGACTATTAAGTTTTTACATCTTTTGGGTCCTGATAGAATAACAGGAACTGGATTTACCTTCTACCATCAAATAACTAGAAAATTGGACAAAATATATGAAACAAGTTTCCAGACAGTTGACAGCAGGCAGCACTAGACTGCGATTCTTGAGAGGGAAACAAAACAAATGAGTCCTTAGAAGGGTATTGTCTCACTACTGAGGTCAAATTATGCCTAGACTAAAGGCTGTTCTGTGCTCACCCTAAAAAGCTTAAAAGCAAGCTTCAAAATGATGAAATGATTCCAAGTACACTACCTGCATCCCAGAACAAAACCCCCAAATGCTTAAAGGACTATAAAAGCTAATAAGTACCAACAAAAAAACAACTAAAATAAAACTGGCACCCAACAGCATAAAATTCACAAAGTCTAACATCCAATAAAAAATTTTCAGGAGTGCAAAGAAGCAGGAAAATACAACCCATAACCAAGAGAAAAATCAAACAGTAAGAACAGACTCAGAAATGACACAGATGATGGAATTTGAAGGCAAGGGTTATTAAAACAGCTATTATAAACATATTTCATATGTCCATTAAAATTACTATAATAAATATACTCCCTATGTTTGAGAAAGAAGAGAAAAGTATGATCACAATGAAGAGAGAAATGGCAGATATGAAAAAAAGACTCAAATTGAAATTCTAGACATGAAAAATACATTATCTGAAATGAAAATACAGAATATAGTGGGAGGGAGTAACATCAGATTAGATGTTGCAGAAGAAAAGGTTAGTGAACTTAAAGACATAGCAACAGAAATTATCCTAAATAAAATACTAAAGAAAAAGAAGATTGGAAAAAAATAGAACAAGAGTAAGCTGTGAGACCATATTAAACTGTCTAACATGCAGGTAAGTGGAGTCCTGGAATTGTGGTGGTGGGCTGGATGGATTTCTTTTTCGGTGGGGGGGGGGAGTAGGGGGAGGGAACACAATAGAAAAAAACCCTTTGTAGAAATAATGGCTGAGAAATTTCTAAGTTTGATGAAAACTATAAACCCACAGTTTAGTGAAGCTTAACATAACTTAAACATCAAAACCTCATAAATGAGACCTGAGACATGTTTGGATATCTCTCCCCACCTACTTAAACACACATTCCTAGCTAGTTCTGCTAGACCTGTGAGGTCCAAACGGTATCCAATAGCCACATGAAATGAATACTTGAAATGTGGCTAGTGCAGTTGAGGAACTGAATTTTTAATTTCATTTAGTTTTAATTAATTTAAATTTAAAAACTAGTGCTCAATTTGGTTATAAGAAAATGTTAAGTATGCTTGAAAAACCTTGGGTACATACTTTTTCAACTGTAAAATTTATAAAATATATATATACAGAATAAATATTTCTAATTGAAATTTGCATTTGAATTGAGATGTGCTCTAAGTGTAAAATATATACAGTAACTTCCCTACATACGAACCTTCAAGTTACGAACTTTCGAAGATGCGAACGTGCGTTTGAATGTCCAGTCACGTAAGTTAGTTCATGTGTTTGGAGTACATTACCATGTGTATGCATCCTCTACAAGTGGTTGTGCTTTTGTGTACTTTACTGTACAGTACTGTAGAGAGTACAGTAGTACAGTATCTTTATTTCAAGGCCAGGATGCCCGCAGTTTGTTCATGATTTTCATAGATTTGAGAAGGTGGATGAGGAGTCCAAAGAGGTCTTCAGTGACCATTAGCAAGAAGCTGGAGCTAGATCTGCAAGAGGACGACTTCACTGAACTCCTTACTGTGCAACACGAGGAGCTTACTAATGAAGACCTGATGGAATTGGAGGCCCAGAGACAGGATGAAGAGAGACAAGAGGAAGAAGTAGTAACTGAAGAACCGAAGAGATTCACGATGCAGGAAATGGTAAGGGGATTTTCTTTATTTGAGGAGGCACTGTTAGTTTTTGAGGCACGGGACCTGAACATAGAATGGTACATGAAGGTTGCAGCAGCAGTTTGGAATGCAATCCAGTGCTACAGTGTCATCTATGACAAGAAAAAAGAACTACTACTCAGACATCACTGGATTGTTTATTCAAGAGGGTAGATAGAATTGAATCCAGCAAGGAACCGGAAACTGTGCCATCAACGTCAGGTGTGAGTGAAATTTCAGCTTGCCTTCCGTCTCCTATTGCTGATGATCCTTCATCTCTACCATCTCCCACCTCTCCCTCCTCCAGTCAGTAACTCTTCTTGCCTGTTCACTCGATTCCAGCCCCTGTATGCCAGCTGTTGTACTGTACTACTGTAATTTTCAAGGTACTGTACTGTAAGAGTTAAAAATGTTTTCTTTATTTTTTGTGTTTGTTTTTTATGTATTATTTGAGTGAAAAGTATAAACATATTAGAATACAGTACTGTATAGCCGATTGTGTTAGTTGGATACCTAGGCTAATTTTGTTGGATTTACAAACAAATTAGACTTACGAGCGTGCTCTCAGAATGGAACTAGTTCGTATGTAGGGGACTTACTGTATTGGATTTTAAAGATTTAGTATAAAAAGAATGTAGAATGTGTCACTAGTACTTTTATATTTATTTTATGTTGAAATATTGTTTTAGATGTATTGGGTTAAGTAAAATATATTATTAACATTTATTTCACCGGATTGTTTTTACCACTTTTGAATATGGCTACTTGGAAATTAAAAATTACAGATGTGGCTCACATTATATTTCTACTGGTTAGCTTTGGGTAAGAAGATCAGTTCCTCATTAGCCATGAGTGCACAAGTAATGCATGATTTGAAGTACTAAAATGCCGAAGTGTTAAAAATAAAATAAATTTTGCAAAAGGTGACCTCTTACTCTGAAAAGAAATAAAATACTTTGAAATAAAATTATAATGTTGTTGCCCCTCTGTTGACAGTAAGAAGGAATGAAATAAATGAGAGGAAAGGTGAAAAGTAAATCATCCTTAGACTGAAGAGGTGTTGAAAAGAATAAAGGTATTAATCAGACATCTAAAGGTGTTTCCAGCAATGCATCTTAGAATGGAAAAACTTCTGTTTGGAAGTTATAAATTCTGGGATGTTTGCTGAACATTGGTTTCACTAAATTACAGTGATACCTCAGGGGTGGATCTCCATTCAGGCAGTGTTGTTTCATATTTTTAAATAAAATGTTTTCCAATATATCACTTAGACTTTTCTCCTTCTTTTTGGTTGTAAGAAACACACAACGTAGCTTAAGAGACAAACTTGGATTTTTTTGGAAGTGATTTGGATAGTTCCTATAATCAAAGAAAACACTTGAAATGCAAATCAGAGGAAGATTAGAAACCAGAGAGGCTCTGGAATTCACAGCAGCCAGATCTAAGGGACTCCTTTTTCTGCGTAGCCAACGGTGAGGAAATGTAAGCTGCTACCATTTCGACCAAGCTGTTATTCTGCTCAAGAATCAAATTCCAGAGCCAGAATATTTGATTGACCAAGCTTGGCTCATATAACTAACTCTGGAGTAGCTACCCGGACCATCATGAACTGAGAAGCAGGAAGGGAGGTTTGCTAAAGCATAATCAAGGTGCTCCTTCCTGAAGAAGAGAGAAGTGGTGTTAGCTACCTAAACCTAAAAACACCGCTTCAAACCATACATGTCCACTCAACAACTGAGAATAATTAACTCTGAACTGCAGCATTTCCTTATTCTTGGCAAATGTAGAGTCTAAGCACTGATTTATTTAGTAGAAATTGGAGTAGCAAATAGTTTATACATCACAGTGGTATATGTCTTACTAAAACAAATTGAATAATG